CCCCTGTGGGTGGATGCTAGAGGCCCAAGTATCTTCCATGCTTCCCTCAGAGTAGTGCTGGGAGAATCAATTCCTAAATGGTAAATGATATTTTTATATATAAAAACATATCAGGAAATGAAATTGCAGGCACTTAGATGTACTTTCAGTAGTTTCATTAAGTATAGGAAATGAAACTGGATTTATTATGAAGCAAGTGGTATAATACAGTGGTTAAGAACTCAACCCAGTAGCTGAATTGCCTGAGCTCACATCCCAGCTCCACCAGAATCTGAGGGATGTTGCCTGACTTCTGATTCAGTTTCTTCCATCTGTAAAATGGGAATAAGAACTGTGGTTCTCCTTGTGTGGTTGTGGGGATTAACTGAGTTACTATGTGTGAAACATTTAGAACAATAGCATATAGTTAGTGCTCAATAAATAGTAGTTCTCACATTTGGGATGGAGAACACATCAGACTGGGTGTTTCCAACCCTCTGTACATCAGAGGGTTGATCTGGCTATGACGATTTTCTCTCTATTGTAACCTCATCATCTGGGTAACCAGATCAATTTCCACTTACTCTCTTGCTGGTTCACGAATGTCCTCTCAAGGCTTTATGTGCCACTGGCAAGAATGACATTCCCAGATAGAGAAGGGAGCTCTGGAAGCAACTGCTGGAAACTCCAGACCAGTTTTCCATGTCCATGAGGAGAAGATGGGGTAGTTAGTTGGCAATTAGAGACTACTAATTCTGCCTATTATTTTAAGCCAAGTGGTGTATTTATCCAATTGCTCCAATTATACATGGCTTCTATTCTCAAAGTCTTCACACAGTCCAAGATGGCAGTTAGATTTTCAGTCATTCTATCTACATTTTAATTAAATTATTTATTTTAGAGATAGTCTTGCTCTGTTACTCAGGCTGGAGTGCAATGGTATAATCATAGCTCACTGTAATCTCAAACTCCTGGGCTCAAGCAAGCCTTCCCAGTAGCTAGGACTATAGGCACGCACCACCATACCTAGCTACTATCTACATTTAAAATGTTTTCTTGGCTGGCCATGGTGGCTCATACCTGTAATCCTAGCACTCTGGAAGCCATGGCTGGGTGGATCCCTTGAACTCAGGAGTTCCAAACCAGCTTGAGCTAGAGTGGAACCCTCTCTCTACTAAAAATAGAAAAAATTAGCCAGGTGTATTGGTGGGCACCTGTAGTCACAGCTACTCAGGAGGTAGAGGCAGACAGGAGGATGACTTGAACCGAGGAGTCTGAGTTTGCTATGAGCTGGGCTGACCCCATGGCACTCTAGCCTGTGCAACAGAGGGACACTCTGTCTCAAAAAAAAATTTTTTTTTCTTAATGATTTATGCAACCTGGGTAAATTAAGGAAATGCCCCCCACCTCTTTTTGCAGTTGCCATTGTTGTTTAGCAGGCCCTGGGCTGGGTTCGAACCTGCTAGCTTCAGTGTTTGTGGCCAGCGCACTAACCACTGAACTATGGATGCCATGCCAGGAAATGGCCCTTTTGCAAATATTTTTAATCATATGTATTCCAAATATCATTTGCCAGTTCTTTATGTATTTGTTCTCAATTTGTTTTTCTAACATAAAGACATTTTCCTCTTCAAAGAGAATTCTGCAGGTACCTTTTCCCTACTTGCTATTACAGGTCAAGAAAGTTTTCTGGAAGAAGTGACTTTTGATTCAAAACTCCATAAGTGAGAAGCACCAATCAGGTGAAAGGAGCAGGAAAGAGAGTCGCAGCAGGAGGAGCAGCACGTGCTCCATCTGTCTTTCAGGGTATCTGTGGGTGCCTCTGCTCCACCCACCTTTTGCTGCTGACTGGCTTCCGTGGCTATTTTTTTTCCTCCTTTGGCCATTTTCGCTCCCACACCTCTGGCTGGCTCCTGCCTCATGCTCACCTTGACTATTTCCTTCAGCTTAGCTCCCTCTCCCTTTCAACTGGTCCATAGTGACGATTTCCTGGCTACAGTTTTTCAGTCCGAGGTGAGAATTTGCCAGGCTAGCTCATTCAGTCATAGGTTGGCTGAGTAGGGTGGAGGGATGGTGTCATAGATTAGATACTATCAAATAAAGTGATGACACTTTACTATCAAATAAAGTGATGACCCTTTTTTTTTTTTGACCCTTGTTTTTTAAAGCAAGAACTTAGGGTAGCAGGCTCCAATAAAAAGGGGTGTTTTCTGTCATTTATAGTTTTCTATGTACACACCTTCTCAGTCTTTATTTATTTATTTAATCAATTTATTTTTTGAGGTAGAGTTTCACTATGTTGCCCTCAGTAGAATGACACAGCGTCACAGCTCACAGCAACCTCAAATTCTTGGGCTTAAGCGATTCTCTTGCCTCAGCCTCCCAGGTAGCTGGGACGACAGGTACCTGCTGTTCTAATCTCTAACATTGGTGAAGTTAACCTCTTCTAGTCTTAGTTTTCTCACTTGCAGAATGGGACTAATGATACTGGCTGTGATGAACTCTGGAAGAATGTTTGTTTAAAATATTTAACCCATCTTCCTATGAGAGGAGGGTCCTTTCTCCATGTTGAGCTCAGGATTGGCTATTTTCTGGTTGCAGTTGTTATTGTTTTTCAGCAGGCCCAGGCTGGACTCAGACCTGCCAGCCTTGGTGTATGTGGCCGGTGCCTTACTCACTGAGCTATGGGCGCCACCCCTTTTAGTTTTTAGAGTTAGGATATTACCCTGTCACCCAGCCTGGAGTATAGTAGCACAATCATAGCTCATTGCAGCCTGGAACTCGTGGGCTCAAGTGATTCTCAAGCCTCTTGAGGTGCTGACATGGCCAGCTTGAGCCACAGAACTTGGTTATTCTCAGTGTTTATGTCAACGAAGGACATGATGAACACTCACATACTCATCAATGATCAGCTTAGGCAAAGGGTAAAAACTAATGCTAGAATCTCATTGGCTTAAAATATTATGCATGTTACATAACCAATGCTAACTGGCATCAGCTCTGCCATCTTTGGCATGTCCTGGAAAGTTAAGGAGAGCCCTTACCTGAGACTTACTGCTTGCCTGGTATAAGGAAAAGAGAAAAATGGTGGAACCATATGATGTCTCTGAAAGCTCTTGCGAAGGGGCATGCTTTTCACAGTGGGAAAAGCAATCCCATGGCCAATCCTGAGCTCAACATGGAGAAAGGACTCTCCTCTCATAGGAAGATGGGTTAAATATTTTAAACAAACAAACATTCTTCCAGAGTTCACCACAGCCAGTATCATTAGTCCCATTTTGCAGGTGAGAAAATGAAGACCAGAAGAGGTTAACTTCATCAGTGTTAGAGATTAGAACTCAGCTCTGTCTGGTTTCAAAGTCGGTTCATGTAGTCTCTTTTTGAGAATTTTTTAAACATGGTGTAGGCACCTAGAATTATTATTTATTCCAAGTCACAATGACTTCTCATCAGCTCCAGGAAATTCTTCATGAAAATTTCTAGAGCTAAATCACTTTTGAAATCTTCCTGGAAGGATGTAAAGCCAGAAAGGGGTCAGGCTTGGGGAACTGCCCCCATGAGAGCTGACGCTAGTCCATCTAGTAATTTTTTTAAACTGTTGAATTATTTATCTGCTTTATCGGTTTGTAGATCCTTTCAACAGGGATCACCTATCATCTGTTACCTTCTGTTTTCTTGTGTGTTTGTGTCTGAGTTCCTCAGCTTTTTGTCAAAGACATTTTTGAAACTTCTAGATTGCCCTGGATATTTATATTCACAAACATTATTAGTGGGATGGAGAGTATAACTCACCTGCTTTGGCCACTTTTAAATTGAGACAGTGAGTAAAAGAGCAGAGAATCTCGGAGATGAGAGGGGCTGTGCAGTAGTTACAGCTAACACAGAGAATCCTTCACCGTGTTTGTTAAGTGTCCCTTGCCCTTGTGCAGCCTTGGGGGTTTCAGAGCCTCAGGTTCCCAAGTGCACGGTGCTGTATGATTAAATGGGTGGGTTTTGACTGGCTAGGATTATGCATGTCCATCATAGGGTGAAGCCAATGATTCGTCCAGGACACTCGACTGAAAGAGGCACGAATCTGAGAGTTCGCTCGCCTCACTCCATCCAGGCCCGGTGCCCATTACGCATTTATCATAACTCCGCTGCTTGAAAATGTCCCAGACAAGCTCACCTGGGAGAATCACCTGCTCCCCCCTCCCCCTGCTGACATGTAGAAGAACGCTGAGGGCCTCTCGGCCTTGTGACTTTGCTCCGCCGGTGAGGCGAAGGTCCAGGTTACTGTGTACGAGAGTCTGGCCCAGGCTTGTGTGCGGAAGACCGAGAGAGGGAGTGTGCGTGTGTGCCTGTGTCAGGCGGGCGGGTCCATATCCGGGTGGACCGGGTGGGTGGGGCCGCCCCCCCTCCAGGTCCCGAGGTGTGTTGGGGGTGGGGAGTGACGCGCAGAGATTCCCTTTCGCCCCTTCGGATCCAAGAAGGGTCGGGGCAGAAGGAAAGCGAGAGTGACAGGGCGTGGATTTAGGGCGTGCCCACCTTGCAGATCGGCACCCGGGAGTGCCCCGGCCAACGGGCCTGAGCCGCGGCGGGGACACGAAAAAGGAGGAGAAGGAACCCAAGGAGGGCTCGCCTAACCAGCCACCCGCTCCGAACTTGCCGGGGAAACTAGTGCGGAGGGAGGGGCCGGGCCCTGGCCGCAGCAAGAGGAGGGGCGGCCGCAGCTGCATCCAGCCCCGTTGGCTTCCTTCCCAGCTCTCCTTTGCCTCCTCCTCCTCTTCCTCCTGTATGAGTCAGGCATTTCCCGGGGATTTGGAGCAGCCACGCGCGGCCCGGGCGCCCGGAGCTGTAGCAGCAGCAGCAGCACAGCCGCCGCGGCGGGCACCCGCGTCCCGGGCGCTCACGGACCATGGAGAAGGCGGCCCAGGGCGCAAACAGCAGCAGCCGCAGCAGCAGCCGCGCCACCTCGGCGGGCTCCTCGCCCTCCTGCTCCCTGGCGGGCCGGGGGGTCTCCAGCCGGTCGGTGGCGGCCGGGCTTGGAGGCGGGGGAAGCCGCAGCAGCCCAGGCTCGGTGGCCGCTAGCCCGTCCGGGGGAGGCGGCCGCCGGAGGGAGCTGGCGCTCGAGGGCGTGCTCAGCAAATACACTAACCTCCTCCAGGGTTGGCAGAACAGGTAACGCGCCCGCCGCCTGCGCCACCGCGCGCCCCTCCCCGCGCCGGGCTGTGTGTCTCTGTGTATTTGTGCGTGTGTGTGCGCGCGCGCGCTGCTGCCTCCAGCGAACGGGATGCTGCTTCCGCACGGTGTCCTTCCTTCGTCCCTGCTCCGGTCCAGGTGGGGTGCTCCGGGAGGGGCGCGCGGTGGCCCCGTCCTGAGAGCGCACCGCAGTGGCGAGGAGGGAGGCAGGAGTCCTGGTTTTCTTCTGTGTGGGCACCTGCACAGACTGGAGTGGCAGGAGGAGCGTGCTGGACCCTGTGCTCTGTCTGCGCTGTTTCTCGCACCCCTGAAGAATGACTGGGAGAGGGAGGCACAGGAGGCGTGCTTGTGCCGGCTGAGAAAGCGTTAGCCTGTCTGGGCCGATGACCGCAGTTGTCTCTGTAACACAGTTCATTTTAAACTTTGGTGTTTAAAAACATCACCACAACTAACAGAAAGCCTGCCACGTCTCGTCCTCAGAGCCCTCCAGCGTGCGTACACACTCCACCTCCCCAGATTGTGGTTTGCAGTCTCCAGTGTTTGTAAGGGAAGGGGAGGGAGGAGAGAGAGAGAGTGAAAAAGAGAGAGAGGACAGAGAGAGAGAAAGAGAGAGAGAGAGAGACCCTCTCCTTCAAAATGGACAGTTTGCTATTTAAATTATTATTTCCTCTTCAGGTGCGTTTCGAAGTTCCCTGCTCACTTTCCCCTCAGAGTGGGGAAGACTAAGTATGGACACGTGCAAGGATGGGATGTCCAGGAAAGAAGTTCCCAGGCGCTTGGGGGTGCGGCCTGTGTGGGGACTAGCGCAGTGAAGAAGACAGGAACAGATGTGGCACTGCTGTTTGCTTTTTGGTTTTTTCAATTTGTTTTTCAAAAACAAGCCAGAGGGACATACCAATGCCTGTGCCAGGAGAACAATCCTTGGGTGGGATCCTTTGTCCTGTCTTTATTACCCTTTGGATCTTTGTAGATGTGGGCTCCTAATGAAGTTTATGAGATTTGGGTCTCACCCTGGAAAGCCCTGCTTGTCTCTGCTGGGTAGACTCTTCCTGTTGGTTGTTTGGAAGCTTCGGATTGCTTCCATCTGAAGCGTATTTGGCAGTTATTTATGGGGAACTTAACTTGGAGGGACGTGTCTTTTGAAGTAGGGAAACCGAGTTGTTTCTGTACTGAGATTCTAGATCTAGAACTTTCCCAGTCACCTGGGTTTCCCTGAAAGTCTGTTATTCTGTTAGTGGAAGTGGGGCTTCACTGTTGAATCTTTTTATTTCTCAAAATAGCCCAGTGCCTGCTGTTGCCTCTCCCTTTCCCTCAGTTTGTGAAAGTGGAAAGAGAATGGGCAGAGTGTGTAGGACAAGAAAGGTAGGAGCTGACTAAATCTGATTTCAGTTCCTGTGTCTTGTTAATGAAGACTCCAGGTGTCCTGTCAGTGACAGCATTTTGTGGGTGTGTCCGTCAGTCACTTTTAATGCTTTTTCTTCAAGTAGCTTATGAGGCCAACAGAGCTTTTAGTTGTAGTTATTCTACTTGCTTGGGAATAGTATTTTACCTGAAATGTGTATTAAAGGATTTGTTCTTTGTGAGTGGAGTTAGGAGGAATTGGAGTAACATTCTCTGGCGTAATTTTAAACCCACTGTGTAGTTTAGATTGGTGGCAAGTTTGAGAAGAGGCCAAGTTAAGAGTAGTAACAGTGCACACGTGATTGCAGGGTCCCTCGGTGAGAGGCAGTGCTGTGTATGCTCCTGAGCGTGGCTAAGTGAGATCTCCTCTCTATTGAGTTTGTGTGCTGTGATTTATAGCTGTCTGCCTCTGCTGATGTTTATTCTGACCACAGTAGACTCGCTGTTTTCCAGGTTTACCACTGACTCCAAAAGCATTGTCTGTAATAGTTAATGTCTCAGTGTCAGGGTTTATATTTCCCATACTGCGTTCCCTGAACCATGTCCCACGGCCCATTAGTGGTCTGGAGAGGATTTATGGTGACTCTGTGATTGCCCATTTCTCTCTTCTCTGGGGTCTTATAAAGGGAAAGCCAGACCAGAGAAAAGGAAGCGAGGAGAGGATAAAAATAGATATCCGGAAAATGTATTTATTCGTTCAATTAATTTATTTATTCAGAGATAATTTATTGAGCACCTACTATGTGCCAGGCCCTATTCTAGGAGCTGGAGCTACTACAGTAAACAAAAAAATCCCATGAGTGATATTTCATGAAGTAGTGGAGAAACTTAGGATTAAAGAGTAGAATGAACCTGTCCTTCCCTAGTCCCAGGAAATGCTCTGGTATAAATAGGTGGGTATAAATAGGTGGGCTAACTGGTTCATGTTGTCTTTCTTTTTGGGCCTCATATCATCTTCTTTTGGCAGCCCCTCCTCCCCACCTCAGTTGCCTGCAGTTAATGATAAATCTCCAGCCGTCAAATTCTTAGTGCATCTTCCCAGGCTGCTGTGCTATTGGTAATACTCTTCACAGCTCCCAGGACTTGACACCAATTACCCTCTAATGGTTTTTACTCTGCTGTTTTCTTGCATGTCCTCAAGTTGCTGTAAAGCTTATATTTAAACATCCAGCATCATATTCTGCCTTTATTTGTAGCACCCTCAGCCCCATTACCACACTGTTAGCAAGGCAGTTTGGGGCCAGAATACAAAATAAATAACACAAAGAGAGCTCATGGAGAGAGGAAGACCAGGCCTCTGATCACATTCATTGGATGGGCTTGTGAAATAATCAGAGTATGAGGAAAACATGCATTAAGGGTTTTATCTAACAATTCATTATTATAGACATTTAAAGACAATATTTTAGACCTAATAGCATTTTATAGATGTATAGGATGACATTGAAGAGTAAATGCATCTAAACCAATGAACAAAAAAATACTTTAGAAAGTGTCAAGTGCCATGAAGATTAAAAAAAGGGTGATGAGATGAAGGCAAGTCCTTATAGGAACAATTTTAAGTGTACATCTAATGATTTTATTGCTATGTACTTTTTTTTGTTTTTGAGACAGAGCCTCAAGCTGTCGCCCTGGGTAGAGCGCTGTGGCATCACAGCTCACAGCAACCTCCAACTGCTGGGCTCAAGCTATTCTCCTGCCTCTGCCTCCCGAGTAGCTGGGACTACAGGTGCCCGCCACAACACCTGGCTGTTTTTTGGTTGCAGCCGTCATTGTTGTTGGCGGGCCTGGGCTGGATTCGAACCCGCCAGCTCAGGTGTATGTGGCTGGCGCCTTAGCTGCTTAAGCCATAGGCACTGAGCTTGCTATGTACTTTTAATCTAGAGCACTATGTTATCACTCATGTTTTTGGTTTTTATACAGAATGAACCAGGGAAGAGTGAACCCCAAGAATTTGGGGAAGCAGATCATGTAACACCTTGTGGGCTAGGATAAGAATTTCAGACTGTGTTCTGGTTCCCCGGAAGTATGTTAGGTGGAGAGGTGACACAGTCTGATCAGTTCACTCTGGCTACTGTGTAGAGATGAGATCTTCAAGGGACCAGAGCGTGAAGATGGTCTCCAGTTAGGAGACCGTCCCAGTTAGGGGATGCTGAGGGCTTGACTTGGGAGGGAAGGGGAATTGAGAGAAGGAATAGATCTGGTGTGGAAAGGATGAATATTGCTAATGGAGTGCATGTGGAGGGGAGGGAAAGGGAGGGGCCAAGGATAACTCTTGAGTTTAGGCCTCAGAGGCTGGAAATTGATGATCACAGGAGAGGAATGTGTTTGTGGCTGGGCTGAGACAGAGCCCAGAGTTCTGTCTGGGCCGTGTTCAGTTTGAAATGCCCATCCCTAGCAAGAAACTGGTTGTTTGAATTCTCATTTGGCCTAAGGCTAATCTTATTCTAAAACCAAAATGGAACTGCTTTGGGGTTGCTCAGAACATTATGTGTTAGAGAAAATAATTTCTAATGGGACCTAGTAATTATTATATTTAAATATTTGAAGGTCAACATTGCCATTGACTTTTTATTATCTGGAGAAAAGAGGACGCTGGAAATATGGAACCCACCTCCAGTTCTTTTTTTTGGTGGGGTTGTAAGAACTCAGTAAAACATTGAAAGGAAATCTTGATTTTGGTGAGGAAGAAAAGTGTTTGCAAAAGCAAAACCTCAGGCCACTGGTGGATGTTTATTTGGGGAGCAAGAATAGAGAGGACTTTGGGTTCACAACCTGATATCAACAATTAGCATAGGTGTGACCTTGGGTCAGTTTCTTAATTGGTCTGGGCTTCAGTTTTCTTTTTGGTTAAATAGGGAAAACAATATTACTCTTCTTATTAGTTCAAGGTGCTCATTTGAGAGTACTGGTGTATAAGGGACAGAGACTAGAGCCAGTAGGATACTGAGAAATGGTTGCTATTAGTGCTATTAACATTTTCCTTCTTAAATGGACCCTTTCTCTCCCATAAAATTTTTGGTTTTCAGGTTGGTGCCTGTGGCTCACTAGGTAGGGCACTGGCCCCACATATGGAGGGTGGCGGGTTCAAACCCGGCCCTGGCCAAACTGCAACAAAAAAACAGCCCAGTATTATGGCAGGCACCTGTGGTGCCAGCAACTTGGGAGGCTGAGGCAAGAGAATCGCATAAACCCAGGAACTGGAGGTTGCTGTGAGCTGTGTGATGCCACGGCATTCTACCAAGGAGAGACTCTGTTGCTACTCTCCTAAAGAGAGCCTCTGTTGCTACAAAAAAAAAAATTTTTTTTTTTGGTTTTTATTTTTGAGTGCTGTGGTTACCCTGGGACCACAGTAACATAATTATTTCAGAGTTCTTTGGGGAGAAGACATTGACTTAATTTTGAAGGGATCAATTTATCTTATTTTATTTTTATTTTTATTAGACATGGGGGTCTGGCTATGGTGTCCAGGTTGGTCTTGAAATCCTGGGCTCAAGTGATCCTCTGCATCAGTCTCCCAAATGGCTGGGACTACAGGTATGTGCTTTCATACCTGACTTGGAAGGATCCATTTAAGT